GGGTTTAGGGGTTTAGTATTTAGGGGGTTCAGGGATTCAGGGTTTTAGGAGTTGGGGTTTATCCATAAAGCGTGAAAAGGCAGCCCCGCGTTCTGAAAGCCACAGCACCGGTATACACCCTGTATCTGGTAGAAGAACCCTCTTCAGTTCACGGTTTAGTTCAGAAATGCACCGAAAACCGAATTGAGGATTCTTCTGCCAAGTTCAAGCCAATCCTGAGCAGCGCGATAGAATAGAGTTTTGGGGTCCATTATACATATACCTACAATAAGGAACCCCCAAAATAGTATCGGCAAATATTAAGGCCCGTAAAGTAGCTCGAAGTGAGGTTCTTTGTCCTAAACCCCTACACCCTAAACCCTCCTTGGAGTCTGAGGGTCTAAGAGGGTCTGAGAGGGTCTGAGGATCTGAAATTTGAGGGTCTGAGGGGTCCGAAGGTCTGAAGGTCCAAGACGACCTGCCATGCTTCCAGTCCGGTCCCATCCGGATCTAGCGGGCCGCTCTGCCGCGGCACTCCGTTGAGGAGACGCACCCGGAGCACCGACTCCAGCTGCTGGAGGTCTCGAACGTTGCTGTTGGGGTGCTTCTGCAACGCTCCCCTTGCCACTGCCAGTATGTGATACGCGAAGGAATTCCGTCCGCCGTGACAGATCTGGAGCTGCCAGAGGGGAGTATCGGGATCCGTCTCGTCGAAAACCGTGAAGGCACCGCTGTGTGAGCGTATCAGGCTAGGCGCAGAGCTGTCACTGGTGCCAGAGCTCGACTAACGATTTCGTCTGTGCAGCCGGATACGCTTTGTCCCCTCGACTCGGACAGCGATTGCTTGCGATCGGCCCTGAAGATGTCGGGCGCCAATGACAATGGGATACAAGGGCTGCTCATCCACAACCTCTGTGAGTCCCAGACAGATGACGACGTGCCTACAGAACATGCTGAGCATTGCGAGAACTATCATGACTTCATTCAACTGAATCAAGAAATGGGCGCTTGACATGATTCAAGATATAATTCTTGAGTGGTGGATCTTGGGCCCTTTAGGTAGACCCCTGACGAAGAAAACCACCGCAAGCCCTGAACCCTCAAGTATTTGCTTTGCTGCTACTAGCGCAGTAATATAGGGGCCTGAAAAATCAGAATAGGATTTTGGGGTATATTAATTTTGGGGTATATTATACTATAACTAGAATAAGGAATCCCCAAAATAGTATTGGTAATTATTAAGGACTCTCTTGCCGCTTTCGTCTTTACAAGGTTCAGGATTTAGGAGGCCACAGGGCAAGGTTTCCCGATGCGAGGTCAATGCCGTGGCTCATGTAACCATCGAACCAGCAGAATGACATTTCGAAGAAAACACTAGTAGTCGTAGTAGTAGTAGTAGTAGTAGTAGTAGTAGCAGCAGTAGTAGTAGTAGTAGTAGTAGTAGTAGTACGTAGTGGCAGTACTTATTAATATTCTTACTACTATTGTCCTGTATGGCCCGTAGATCTCGCACGATGGAATACACGCCCTTCTCACGTGTTTCGCCTTGCCCTGGCAGCCCGCAAATACTTGGGATCTTTCTTTAGGGTATGTGTTTCCGTCCCCTGTTTTCTGAACCACCTGCCGAAATCATGTCTGAAGCTACTTAATGTAGGGGTCAGCACAAGTACCCATCGTATTCCTTGAGGCTCCTTGCTATAATCTTAAATAACCATACTAGAATGCAACCCCAAATCTGCAAGACAATAGTCTTAGTATGCCGGCCCATATCAGACGCTAAAGCCCCGTCTGGAACCCTTCACCTATTCTAAGAAACAAGGCCCCCCTGTTAGCAAAGGAAAGATATCTCGGACTCAGACAGCTCCGTCCTAAATCCTAAACCCTAAACCCTAGATTAGCAAAGGGAAGGTATCTCGGACTCAGACAGCTCCGTGAAATTCACCTTGGCCCGAGAAGAGGTGTTGATAACCTTACTATAATATCCTATAAAGAAACTCAGAAACCACAAGTGCTTTCCGCTCGCGACTACAACTCCTATCTGCAACTGTTGTGTCATGATGCCTACTTCCCAGCGCTTCAAGAAAACAAAGAGTCCCTAGTGGAGTCCCTAGACCCTGAACCTTAGCCCCAAACCTTTAAAGTCTTCAAATGAAACTACTGCGGGTCCTAAGAAGTGTCTGCAAAGTAAGTACTGCAACCTGCCAAGCTCGCCGCCCCCTGAAAAAAAAGATATTCGGCATAGAGGCATCCTCAATAACGCAGCCTCCTGATTAATCAGATCCCCGACATGAAGATCCCTGCGTAGCTGATCCTCATGAAGGGAGGGATTGTTCTCAATCGGGGGTCTTATATCGCGTTTGTTAGAGGGGCAATGGCACTGGTACTGGCTGGACGCACATTGCACGAAGCAAAATACAGGCAGACTCGTGTTTTGAACTTGGGCCAATGGTACACGCAGAATGCATCAAGCCAAAAGATCCTGGGCAAGCATTAGACGTTAATGAGGCACTCATAAGTGTCTTCAATGGGCACTGTTACATGACTTGAAGAACTGCACAGGTTTTAGCAAAACTAAATCTCGCCTAACGAACTAGTTGCAAACAACCTACGGCTACATCTATGGCTGCCTTAGTTGCGAACGGGCTGATGACCCCCACCATGACTTTCATCAGAAACTCCTGCGGTTATCGTTTTCCATCTACAAACTACTGCTACAAAGCTACATGCTTGCTACTGCAGTCGATCTTAACCTACCATAACATGCGTGCCTTGTACGTCAGATTTTCATCGGGGCCCTACGCAAATGTGGGGCTTGGACAGGGTAGGGTCCTCAACCCTAAACCCTAAACCCAAAACCCAAAACCCAAAACCCTAAACCCAAATACAAACTTGTACTCAACTGCGCTTGCAGCTCCCAGCTCCGCCAGCAACGTGGCTTAGGGTTGTAGCTCAGGCTTCGGGGCTTTAGATCTAACTTGGTGGGCCTCAAAGGTGGGATGAAGGTATGTAGGACTTAGGATCCCGTATATTGAGGACTCTTATTTGGGATTACCCGACCTACCTCCATCTGTGGAGCCCTTTTATAGATTTAGCTGCCGGCGCACCCATGAGAAAACGTTCAACTCCTCCCCAAAACCTTCTGAGCTCTGGGCTGTGTGGATCAGGCTAACTGCCTCTGCCGCTTCGGGCTTGGGCAGACGACTCTTGCAGGTTCATGGGTAGTTATAAAGGCTATAAGTCCCCTAATATGGGTTATAACTAAAGTTACCTTACTTATAACCCCACTTATAACTGCCCATGAACCTCCAAGCTAGCGGGTTGAGGGTACTTGGAAGATCATGAGACCTAGTACCTAGGGCCATGCACAGCGTAGCTATGGCTATAGTTACTTGTAACCCCGACTAAGGTACTTATACTGTAGATAGAAAAAAAGAAACTTTTACTCTGGTTATAATAACTTACAACTCCAATTAAGGTACTATACTATAGTTATACCTAAGGAACTCTTACTCTGGTTAGACTTACTTACAGCTCCAACTAAGGTACTTATGACCTTACTGACGAAGTCCCAGGATCCTCCAACTATCAGTTTCCGAGCTTCGAGGGGCATGGGGATAAAGTTTGGGAAATAAGCAATGTAGGGGCCTCCATAATTAGAATAGGGTTTTGGCCTTCTTTATAGTATCGTGTATATATATATATATAATAATAATAATAATAAGGAACCCTAAGAACAATATAGGTAACTATTTAGGCTTCTATAGCAAGTCCTTTGGCCACCTGAGCTAGGGTTTAGGGCTGTAATACAGGGGCCTTAATAGTTAGAAAACGTTTTTTTTGTTGTTAGGTTTGGGGGGGGGGGTATAGTATACTATAACCATAAATAAGGAACCCCCAGACTAATGTAGGTGATTAGTAAGGCCCCCCACAGTAGGGGGGGTTTCGGGTTTCGGGAACCCCAAACCCTGGACCGTCTCTGAAGTTCTTGCACTTCCTGCACAAACCCTACAACCCCGAACCCCCTAAA